ATATATATGTCATAGTTTAATAGCAACAAAATCTTATATCTTAGAAAACAGTCCTTTTAGTTGGCAAAGACATGTTTTAATAGCTTAACTATATCTTAATTTTTGCTAGTGCATATGCAATATAGCAAATAATTCTTTGCCATTAAAATGTAGAAATGTTTGTTTTTGTCTTTCCTTAACTAAAAATGTAATTGATGTAGCCTGGTATTTTATATAATCTATTTGTATATAATACAATAAAATTGCATTCTGTTGCTTAATATAATCTACTTCTATGTGGAAGATGTAAGCATTAAGGAACACAATTTTAAAGTTGTTTTAATTTATATGGTGAATGCTACTCAATCTTCTACTTCTTTTCATTCTGTATCATAATCAACTTTTTCCATAGCAAGGCAATTGTGGCTGGCTCTACAAACCTTTATGTGTTTGTTTAACAATAACAAATATTTTCTCTTAATCAGATGGTAAATTGAATAGTTAGTTACCCCAAACAATCAAGACTCCACAAAATTTAAACTAGAGTATATTGTGGTTTCCTGTCTTCTCTGATGAAGTGAGAATTGGAATGCTACATGGAGTATTCTCTGGTCTCTAGAATGTTAACATGGGCCTTGTGGCATTCCTCTCATGTGGGGGTACTCTGCTGTCAGAGACCAGTTAGAAGAACATTGGTTATTAAAGTTTATGAACAGTTGTGGAGAAGAAGCTTCATCAAACTACACTCTTACAAACATTGGAGACAGAATATACCTGTGCAGCTCAATAGCAGCAATTTCTGCTCCTCTTCTTGATGTATTTGTAAATAGGAACATCGCTAGACAAAAAGGAGAAAACCCAAATCCTCTTTTAAAAACTGCAGTCGCTTGATCACTAGCTTGAGTAATCCTATAGCCTGTGTTCACCTTTATTGATGAAAAGTTGTTCTAAACCCAAACCCCCACCAAAGAGAGAGAGAGAAATGTTTAGAAAATAAAATGTAATGATTAACATGAACATTTTCCTCAAAAAATAGTTTCAATTGGTAACTTCTTTTAGTATCTAAATTCTAAGACTTCAAAAGCCTAGCTCACTGCCGCCATCGTTTCTGACTCACAACCCAGTAGAACAGAGTAGAACGCCCGGTGGCTTTCTGAGACTGGAAACCTGTGTGAGGGTATAACGCCTCATCTTTCTTCCCTGGAGTGGGTGAGGGCTACAAACTGCTGACCTTACAGTTAGCAGCCCAATGCGTAACCCACGACACAACCAGGATTCCTTGGCCAGCACTCATACTCTACAATAAACTGGAAAATGACACTTCTACCTCAAATCGGTGGTTATAGCATGAGAGTTTTGTATAAAAACTCACCACCATTGAGTCCATTTGGAATTGTGATATAGGATGATGTACATATTCAACTGCCATCAAGTCAAGGCCAACTTGCTCAGTAATATTGATCTGCGACTGGATCAAGGGGAATGTAACAAAGAGGAAGTGCTGAAATCCTGGTGGGGACTGAGCATGATAGTGGGACAGGAGGAGAATCAA